AATGACCCTAGGAACTATATCATTCATGTGTAGACTCTGGAGCAGATTCACACAATTCAGCCAGGAATAAAGATGGAGACACTCCAGAACTCTAACCCCAAGCATCCAAGCATTCTGTTTTTCCTTATCCACCTCATGCTATTAAATGTCTGTATAACCTAACATTTGTGAGACATGAGCGGCTGGATATAGTTCAGAGGGAAAGACTTGTTATGCAGGGACATGACTCCCAGGCTGCAGAAGGAACTATCAGAGGCTCATCCTGCTACAGCATTCATGAGCTTCTCAAGTTTGATTAAAACTCTCAGGCCGAGTTGTTTGATCACAATCTGGTGTTTTACTGCTATTTCTTTGTAGTGGTTTTGTTTTAAATTTTATCCTGTATTGGAACATGTTGCGTTGTATCTTGTTTTTTATGTTTCTAGACTGTTGTGGAAAACTGCCCTGGGTTTACAATGTAATGAAGAGAGAGAGAGAGAGAGAGAGAGAGAGAGAGAGAATAAAGCTCTCCCCCCCACACACACACACAGAGAGAGAGAGAGAGAGAGAGAGAGAGAGAGAGAGAGAGAATTGATTGATAATCAACTGATAATTGACTGATAATCTAATCCTGAGAATCTCTTCTGAGAGATGTTTTGCTTTGGGGCTTCCCATAGGCATATGGTTGGACACAGTGTGAACAGAATGAATTTGATCACAGGTAGGCAAACTAAGGCCCGGGGGCCAGATCCGGCCCAACTGTCTTCTAAATCCGACCCGCGGACGGTGCGGGAATCAGCGTGTTTTTTCATGAGTAGAATGTGTCCTTTTATTTAAAATGCATCTCTGGGTTATTTGTGGGGCATAGGAATTCGTTCATTATTATTTTTTTCCAAAATATAGTCTGCCCCCCCCCACAAGGTCTGAGGGACAGTGGACCAAACCCCTGCTGAAAAAGTTTGCTGACCCCTGAATTAGATAAACCTTTGGTCTGATCAAGCAGGGTCTTAAATATTTATGTCATCTTACCTGGTTATCTGAGCAAAGCACTTTCTCAAATATTGATGCGCTTGTCCATTGAGAACTCTAGTTCAGGTTCTCCTAAGTATTCCATCAGCTGCAGATATACATCTTGTTGTGGCCAGTGGATGCTAGTACCCACTGGGTCTGGTAGGGTGGAAGGCAAGAAGACAGACAGGGGGTGGAGCCAGAGCCAATGACAGAGAGAGCCACATTCTGACTGGTTGCACATAAAGATACAAGCAGGTGAGGGTGAGGAAGAACAGGTTGGTAAGGCAGTGCCCTGTTTGCCCTAATAGATCAGCTTCCACTGGCTGTGACCTTCAACCTTTGGAATCCCCTTGCCCTTAAGAGTAACATCCGCCAACCTTAATTGTGTTTCAGTGCCTTTTAAATACTTATTTTGGTGTCTTTTTCAACACAAATTTGCTGATTTACAAAACTTATATTAATAGTTTTTTATACTTTTCTGCAATTTGTTTTTAATATTCTAAGTTGTTTAACATGTAATATCTTAATATTTTCTGTAAGCCGCCCTGGCATTTGAGAATAACAGGTGTCATATAAACATATGAAAGAAAGAAAGAAAGAAAGAAAGAAAGAAAGAAAGAAAGAAAGAAAGAAAGAAAGAAAGATTATCATTGCATCCAAACAGCACACTCAGCTCAAGATGTCATTATTCTTATTTTAATTAAATAGAAATAGATAATGTAATCTGTTGGGTGTCAATGCAGAAACTGGTAGGAAAGCCCTCCTAATGCAATGGAACTGTATAACGCTATGAATTTAATAATAATTCTTGGTTGATGGGTGGAGTGTGTTTTTACTAAATGCTTGTATTTTGTGCCTTGAAAGCCTTGTAAATCTTTTGTGTGTGTTATTAGGCAGGCAGTGCTCTAACCTTAAATAGTATTTTCGTTTCTCCTAAAGGAATATTTGTCCTTGCACAGGAGAACTTCAGCCTGATAGAGCTATCACCTGTCTACTCTATTTCCTGGCAGGTTTTTGCAAATGCTGCATTTTGTGTCAATGTGAAGGTGACATTCAGTGTCAGGTGTTTGAGGTGGAGGAGAGATTAAAGCTTGATAAACAGAGAAAAATTAATCCTTTCAATGTGAATGTCAGCGAGAGTAACTCCCACGTTGCTCCCACCATATAGTTTATGCCAAGAAGAGAGATCCTTAGAACAAGTGGCCATTGATCAAAACTGTGAGGGGTCCATTCTAGACAAAATCAAATGAGCAAATGTTTGCATTTCATCTTCTGCCAGTCCTGGTGTTTCTTCCCTTGTCACATCTTTAAGGTGTTCTGATAAACCAGGGGAACACATGATCTAATCAGCTGCAAGGGCTGATATAATATTCCACATGGATTGACTTTCAGTTCCAATATCACTAGCTATATTCCAAGAGCTAGAATTCCCTGTCTTTTAAATTTTAATTATTTTTGCATATTCTAAAAATACTCCTTGCAAAACAAAAACCCTGTATACCACCCCAATATCACCACTAAGAAACAAAGTGGTTAGGCAGCCCATGGAGTAGCCCTGGGATAGTCAGAACATGATGGGAGTTGCTAACCTTCTAGTACATGGGTTGCTAATGTGGTGCCCTCCATAAGTTGCTAATTGCCAGCTGCCACTAGCATGGCTAATGGAAAAGGATGGTAGGAGTTGGAATCCAGCAACAACTGGAGGGCAACACTTTAATTACCCATGTACTAGAAGCTCGGGGGGTTGTCTAGGAATGGATTTGCACTGAAGTTGTTATTCACATCCATCCACAGCGTGCACCCCCAGGGGTGAAGTCAAACCGCTGCATTAGCAGCACCTAAATGACCTCCCTGGAGCTCAAGCCTGGGCAGTGTATATGGTGACAAGAACTCCCTCTCGGCCTCACTGATGTGGTCTGAAGGAAAGCAGATCAATACATTTGGCACCAGTTTGGCTGCAGGAGTTGCTGGAAGAAGGCATACAAGGCACCATCCAACTGTCTTAGGATTTGTCTAGGGTTTAGTCCTTAGTCTTTTCTTCTCCCAAAGATGTCCTGCAGGCCAGTGGAGGTTCAGGATCAGAGTTTTCCTTCTTCTAAATGAGGTCCCTTCCCAGGTTGATGAGCCCCTTCTTCCTCACTTTCATCTACAACACACACAGAAACCACCTTCTTGACTGTTGGACCCACTATTGGTCTCATCTGCTCAATCCCCCAGAGCCTTCTCCATGCAGCAGAAGTTCCTAAGTCACTGAGGGTTTGAGAGCCATTGCCTGCCTTTACCACATGTAGCCAGCCAGTCAAAGCCATTCCTAGGGTGTGGACACTGTTGCATGGTGGCAGCTTATATGAGCCACTGGTGAGAGCTGAGTGCAGGGTGGGAACCAAAGGTGGAAAAATTATCCCAGAAGGAGAATGACATGTCCCCCACCAGAAGTACTACTACTATTCCCCTAATACCCTGTGCATAGGAAATTACAGCAAAACAGAAACAGGCATGGATCAACTTGCTGCAAAACTATATGTGATGAGGCAGTCAACTGTGTATTTATCCCATTCACATGTGAAATGGGTTGGGAAGCCATACTTTAAGACAAGGTCTTCTGGCCTGAGGGCCTCTTTCCCTCAAGGCTAACCTCCCAGGAGCCAGATGCCACAGCAGTGGGTGGAGGAGACAACTCTTACCTTTGTACAGTAGCCTACAATTCAGGCTTCCTCAATCTCGGCCCTCCAGATGTTTTTGGCCTACAACTCCCATGATCTCTAGCTAGTGGTAAGGGATGATGGGAATTGTAGTCTCAAAACATCTGGAGGGCTGAGGTTGAGGAAGCCTGCTACAGTTCAACCACACTGAGATCAGAGGTTTCTGCATGTACAACAAGAGATGTTATTGCAATTCAAGGACATATGCCAGCCAGGCAAAGGAACTGGAGGAAGGTGTGGAGCAGGATCCATGCGGATGTGCCCTGGGTAAGGTCCTAGGAGTGTGAAAGAGTGAATTGGAGGGTCACAGTGTTTGCACCATGCCAACCTCACTGCTCCCCACCCTCCTGGTATGCTACAGAGACGGCAGTAACAGGAGGTCAGGTGAATCGTGCTGCCCCAGCTTGCCACCCACTACTGGAGGGACTCAGCAAAATTGGGACCATGGGGTTTAGGGATGGGTAATTTCCCCCATGTGTTGCGGTTCTGCTGAACCCCCTTCCTCTTGGTACCATTTGAATCTTTCTTCCCGGGGCTAATGTGAGCTTCAAGGATAAGATGGCATGCGCGCGCGCGCGCACACACACACACATACACACACGGTCATTTGCAGGCATATATTATGCAAACCAAATTTAATGCTATGCAACCCGAAGCTAAGGACTAAAGAATTAAGCAGCTACATCTTTCTGCTCGTATGATTTTTAATTCTTTTTCAAAAAAGAAAAAATTACTTTAGCTGCAGCTTTTTGAAATAATAAAGAAAAAAGCCTATGATTCTACTCAGCATTGACTGAGGCCAAATGACTATTTAAGACCTTTTCAGTCTGTTCACCTTTGGGGGGGGAATTAATTATGCGCCAGACATAGCTCATTCTGCAAAATGCAATAGTAATCTTTCCTGCAGAGAAAAGGCTTAGCAGAGATGTTATTGTCTCAGCCAGCCCAAATAGAGGATCCACAATGAATGTTCAGAACAGAGCACTTCTCAAGTTTCAGGCTTTCATCGCAGGAGTAACCTTAATGCATGGTTCTGCCCTACTTTATTCAGGGATAAGGAACCTGTGGTCCTCCAGGTACTATTGGACATAATCTCTCATCAACCTCAGCCAGCATGACCGCTGATCATGTATTATGGGAGTTGTAGTCCAAGAGCACCTTAAGAGCCACAGGTTCCCTATCCTTGCTCTGGAAATGGAAGGACCAGACTTTTAATAAGGGGAACAATAGACCATTGAAAATTATCCTAGGCTTTGTTGCCCAACTGAGAAATTGCAGTCTGTTTCACACCTGAGAGGGAAAGCAATCTACATGGCTCAGTCGGCAGAGCATGAAACTCTTAATGTCAGGGTTGTGGGTTCGAGTTCCACATTGGGCAAAAGATTCCTGCATTGCAGGAGGTTGGACTAGATGAGCCTCGTGGTCCCTTTCAAACCTACATTTCTACGATTCTGTGAATGGCTCCTGTGGTCCTGAGCATGGCTGTGCTCAGTGCTTTTCTTCTAGAAAAAGGTGCCAGTACTCACTATGAAGTTGTTACACTGAGTGCCCCACTTTTAACCAGTGCTTTTCTTCTAGAAAGAAAAAAAAGATATCAGTACTGCATACCCGGGGCAGGGGAGCACTGGCTGTGCTTTTACATAACAAACAAAGAGGGGCATTCTAATTTTGTTCAGTGCAACTCACTACATCTACCAGGGCAGAGCCTGCTTCATGACAGATAGAATCTAGCAGGCTCCATCCCTCTGCCCCAGAGGTGTACCTAGGCTCCTTTGCGCCTTTGGCAAGGAGCTGTATCAGTGCCTCAGAAGCTGAAACAGACCATGGATCAGAAACTCAGAAAGTTTGTTTTTCATTGCGCTTTTTGCTCCGCCAGTGACTTCCTCTGCAACCATCAGGGTCAGGTCTGCTCTGCCTCCCCTCCTCTGCCACTACCTCCTCTGCTGGCATCTTCACGAAAGCATTTCCAGGGAAAATAAATGCTACATCAGAATAGGTCTATGTGCACATTAGCAGTTTGACACACAGCAAAGTCATTCTCCCCACCTCACCCCCCGTGTTTCAAGCTGTGTTTTCTTGTTGCTCTACACATCAGAAAGGAGGCAAGGATGTATTCTCCCAATGTGCATCACTTGATTTGTTTCCCCACACCTGCAAACCCCCTGAACTCCAAGTCAACAAAGCTGCCATCTGGGCATGTGCAACAGCTGCCTTAAATGAACACACCTCAGCTTAACTGCATGTTTTCAAAACAGTTGGAAGCAGGTTTGAGGGGAAAGACATCAAACAGCAATATTTCTCAAGAGGTAAAAGGTAAATGACCCCTGGATGGCTAAGTCCAGTCGAATTTGACTATGGGGTACGATGCTCATCTCTGCTTTCAGGCCAAGGGAGCCAGCATTTGTCCATGGATAGCTTTCTGGGTTATGTGGCCAGCATGACTAAAACCGCTTCTGGTGTAACAGGACACCGTGGTGAGTCTCAGAGCCCACAGAAACACTGTTTACCTTCCTGCCACAGCAGTACCTATTTATCTACTTGCACTGGTGTGCTTTCAAACTGCTAGGCTGGCAGAAGCAACAGGAGCTCACCCCATCACGCGGATTTGAACCACTGACCAATTTGATCAGCAGGCCCAAGAGGCTCAGTGTTTTAGACCACAGCACCACCCACGTCCCATTTCTCAAGAAACTACAGGACGCATGTGGATTTTGGCTTATGGTCCTGTGTATGCAGCTTCAAACACCAGCTGTAGCAGCATGCTGGAGCTGGAGTAAACGGTAATGTGTACATAGGCTAGGTCTTTATTTTGGTTCTGATCAAAAGCAAAATAAAGCTGTTTCTGAAGTAGGTTAATCCTTGTGGATAAATTCTGTTTGAGCTAACCAAGAAATGAAAACCCTTCCAGAATTCTGCTAAGCCCCAGTGCCGATGCTGATGAAGACACCGACGGTGCGCAAACAGAGGAATAAACTAGAGACTATCACCTGAATACACAAAACTGCACTTGCTACTCTCTTGAGATGTCCGTTTTCTATGCACATATTTGCCTCGGAAATTTAAGCATGCAGGAAAATTTACAGCCTAGGTTTACAGTGTGGATAAATGCTTGAATGTTTCCAAATCTGGAAAGCCATCATGAGACATTAAATTGACAGGCTCTGTGAGATAATTTTTAAAATAAATAAATACAAATGAATACAAGGAAGTGGATCTGCCAAAGCATTCCCATCAGAATGAGTTAGGTTCAGTACAAAATGTACATTTACACTTGACAGTGAAAGACAGCTTTTATTACCAAGGCTTTCGTGTAGGTAGGTAAAAACATAGCTATATATAATAAATCCAGCACAACATTCAAGACATATCTCGCTGCTGTAATCAAGGTAGAGTGCAGAGAAAAGCTATCTTAAAATGAGCCAGCATTATCCCTAATTTAACAGCAAAATTGGTCAACATGCCTGTACGTTCACACCTGTTTCTCGATTTCTAAGAAGGAAACTGGCTTAGAAACCAGATCCTGTATTTACTGGTAGCGCTTCTATTTTTTATTTTTTAAAAGATATTTATTAAGATTTTCAAAATATTACAAAAGAAAAAAGAAAAAAGAAAAATACAAAATAAAAATAGTTAAAAACAATTCAGTCTTTCAGTCACTTATCTTTCATTTGCTTATTTCCTCACTTTCAATCATTTATCTTTCATTTGCTTATTTCCCGGACTTCCTCACACCTCCCTTTTCTGTATTCCAATTCAGTTTGTTAGTTCAGCAAATCCCTCCCCTCTTTGTTTATCCTAATCTTCAATCTTAAAGTATTGTAACATTAGATTTTTACCTGTTAATAGTCCATTTTTTCATATTCCCTTATAACATTACAGCTAGAAACCACTTAGTTTCTATCCAACATCATTCTAACATTCATTAATTTTACAATATTTCTGTAAATAGTCTTTAAACTTTTTCCAATCTTCTTCCACCGACTCTTCTCCCTGGTCTCGGATTTTGGGCCTTCATGGTAACTTCTTGATCTCTAAACAAGGTGTCATTCATCCTCCATCTGAAGGAACCGGTAGGTATTAATTTCATCTCCATTTTCACAGCATTATGGTCGGAGCAAGTTTTAGGGCAAATTTCCGCTTTTCGAGTCTTAGGTGCCAGTCCTCTAGTTATCCAAATTTGGTCAATTCTTGTCCATGTCATTTTGGCTTCAGAGAAGAAGGTTCCCTCTCTGCCCAAGGGATTCTTTATTCTCCAAATGTCAATCAAGTCCATATTGTCAGTCATCTCAAAAAAGGTTTTTGGTAGTCTGCCATCTTTAGTAACTACCTGTCTCTGTGACTTGTCCATGTTTGTAGATACCACTCCATTCATATCTCCCATCATGATAATGTTGTAATCCATATAGTCTAACAATGTCTCATGCAACTTCTTAAAAAATTCAGATTTCCCCTCATTTGGTGCATATACTCCTACTATCAAAAAATTTTCTCCTTGTGTTTGGATTTCAATTGCCACATATCTTCCTTGGTCATCTTTAAAAATAAATTTCGGTGATAGGCTCTCTTTCGCGTAAATTACTACTCCTCTCTTTTTAACCTTGTCCGATGAAATAAACTCTTGGCCCAATCTTTTATTAATCAATACTTTCCTATGAAGCCTTATCACATGTGTTTCCTGCAAGCAAATCAAGTCCAATTGTTCCTTTTTCAATAAATGAAAGACTTTTTTCCTTTTCTCCGGGGAGTTAAATCCATGAATATTCCAACTTAATAGTTGCAGGGACATGGTGTATTTATTTTGCTTACTGGCAGCGCTTCTAATTCCAACAGTATATGTTTATGAATGCTTTCTCAATGAGGTTTACTCCATAGTATGCATGCCCAAGATTGCAGCCTAAATGTTGGAGCTGGCTGGATTCACTGCTGAAGGAGAGACACTCTGCACATGCTCAGTTGCTTTAAGAACATGTGGGCTCCAACTACCAGCCCATTTAGTCTGGCAACCACTTCTCACAGTGACCAACCAGACAGCAGCGGAGCAAGCCAATTGGGCGCCACGCATGCCCTGTGCCCAGGGGTGGGCCAGCCGCCCATGAGGCAGGGCTAGCCAGGGCAGTAGACTCCGCAGGACCTCCAAGGAGTCTGCCTGCCTCCTCCCACTCAGCCGCCCTACAGCTGAGGGGGAGGTGGCAGGCGGACCATATGGGCGCCCAAGTCACCTTGTCACTCCCAGGAGAGACACGTGGTTCGGGCGTGCTGCAGGCCCCACGATGGTGCTGCCCGGCATTTTGTCACCCCTCTCAGTGGTGACACCCAGGGCGACCCGCCGCCCCTTCCTCCACCCCTGCAACCAGATGCCTTGGGGAGCCTTGCAACCTTGCCACTTTATTCATGCCAGTCCCTAGCATGGGAAACAGGTGAGCTTTGAGTGACCACATCAGGTATGCAGGTATTCGTCCAGTGTTAGCTGAATAAACCTTCAGTTTTCCTTATTTATTTATATGGCAATGAAGTGAGCGGTAATCCAAGGCAACATTGCCACCTTGTGGGATGTTCCAAAAGTTACTGCAATAGTGGGGGGAAACAGTGCAAAATTCCCGCCTAACATTGCAAATCCCAGCAGCACTTGATTAATCAGCATCCTGGGTTTAACCAAGTCACAAAGATTTCTTTGGTCCCAGTAAAGACATTGCCCTAACACAGATGGAGGATGACTGAGGTTCAGTGGCTTTCTATGCAGCTAGTTCCATGATAAGCCCAGGCAAAAGACTCCCTGCCTGAAACCTTAGCAAGCCACTGCCAGTCAATTTATCTGATACTAAGCTAGATGCAATAATTATCTCACTCATTATAAAGCAGCTTCTTATGCACCTGGATTTAAAGATAGATAGATAGATAGATAGATAGATAGATAGATAGATAGATATAGATAGATGATAGATAGATAGATAGATAGATAGATATAGATATAGATAGATATAGATAGATGATAGATAGATGATAGATAGATGATAGATGATAGATATTTATTTATTTATTTATTTATTTATTTATTTATTTACATACAGCCAAATCGGTCAAATTCTTCCACTGAAAAGTAGTGTGTGTTCTTTTTAATTACTATTGATAGATTGTTTTTAATGCAATGGAGGCTCTGTCTCCCTCTCTCTCTCTTTTTTTTTTTTTGCAAGCAATAAGTAATGTCATAATAGAAGTTATCACCAGTCACCTCAATTACAGAGAGGGTGGGATGCCATGGAATACTTACAAAGGGAAAGGAGGGTTGAGTTTTCCTTCACCTTGGTAAACTGCCAACCTATAGGCCTAACCAAGCCCACGAGTTTCCCAGTAGTGATGTATGGAAGTGAGAGCTGGACCATA